GCCATGCACCTTCATGCCCAGCCTTGTCCACTCCTACAGAGCTGGGGAGGTGCAGCCCCCCCACCCCCGGTCCCCAGCAGCCCCTGGCCCAGTGTGCTGGATCCAGGCAGGAACAAGAAGCCAGCCGGTCCTGGCTCTGTCTGGCCCTGATCCAACCCCTGGCGCCTCGCACTGCACAGAACCCAGGGGCTTGGCTGCCCCGGCCCCCCAGAGATCTGGCTGCCGGGAGGGAAGCCTGGCGGGGGCGGGGCAGGGAGCCGTGTAAGGCCTGGCTGCTTTTACACTGATTTAGTTGAACCAGGGCAAAGCCCCGTGTGGACCCTTTTAAAGGGGGTTTCAGCCTGGTTGCTTGGTGTGCCCGTACAGATCAAGGGGGCTTGCTTGTAATGTACAGGCCTTTCACATTAGGGGGGTTGGAGCTGAAACTGTCTTAAATGACGGTGGCTCGAGCTGTGGCCCTTGGGAGAGGGACAGGCCTCTCAGGAGCAGTGGTGGGGCCGAGGCCGCCCATAGGCACCCAAGGCAGCGGGTTTGGACGTACAGGGGGGTTCTGCTCCCGCCAGACTGAGGCAGGTGAGTAACCTCTGTTGAGTTCAATGGGACCAGCTGCCCTGCACAAACTGACTTGTGTCTACAAGCTTTGCAGGATTGGGCCCTGGAGCCCAGATCATCTCTCCACGCTGGTCTGTTCAGCTGCCGTTCAACAAATAAGCGATCTCCTCTCCTGTAACCTGAGGAGCCACCAGGAACCAAAGAGACTTTTGTAACCTCCCTCTATGTCAGTCTCTTCAACTCAGTGTACAGTAGGAACGTGGTGTAAGGATTTCTCACACAACGCAGTTCACCTGTGGAACTCCCTGCCAGAGGACGTTGTGAAGACCAAGACTATAACAGGGTTCAAAAAAGCGCCGGATTTGTCCGTGGAGGAGAGATCCATCAATGGCTATTAGCCGGGATGGGCAGGGATGCAAAAGCAACACCACGCACTAGTGGTAGCAAGATTGGGAGCTCATGCATAAAAGGGCCTGGTCGTTTTAAAATCACGTCATTTAGACCAGCAGTTCTCAACCAGGGGGCTGGCACTCCCTGCGGGCTGGGAGTAGTTTTCAAGGGGTCCACCAGAACAAACTGGCACACAGGGCCAGCCAGCATTAGAGTCATTGGGGCCCAGGACAGAAAGCTGAATTCTGAGCAGTGTTCCATTTAATTGTTTTCCATTTGTGTGCAGAATAAATGTTGTTATGTGCACTGGTGTATGTGCAGATGTGCACCACCCCTACAAACACTCACCGCCAGCCGTGGGTGCTCTGCTGATCAGCTGGGCGGCATGTGACTTGCTCCTGGGCGTTCCAGAGAACGCTGATCCTGTGTCTTGAGTCAATCGGCCATTTTCCTTCTGCAAATGGTGGCTGATTGACTCAGCTTGCATTAAAGAGCAAAATTCATTCGGGGGGAGTCAACGCATGCTGTGCCTCACAGTCACTCTGCCACGGCACAAGAACTTCCCACAACAAGCCACGGATAGGACCAAATCTACTTTATTGTGACAACGTGCAACATCAACTCAATACACTTCTTGGACGCTAGGACTGGGCAGAACGTACTCTTCAGCTGCCTCTTTCCCGTCCCCCAAACCCTGTCTTGCTACTAAAGTTACGCATGTCTGTCAAGGTCAGGCCCTGCCCTCCGCGTAATCCCTACAGGTCGCAAAGGAACTTTCATTCCCAGAGTCAACATCTTCCGTGCACGGCGAGCTGGGAAGCAAAAGAGGCGTCTTTACAAAATACACAAAAGTCAAAGACCCGTTCCGATTATATACAAAATAAGAGAGCGATATAAAACGTAGGAAATAGTCTAGGCGGCACCCGTGTATAAAAGTGAGCGTGTGTGCGCTTCGGTCAAGTTTTCATCCTGAGTTAGCAATGCCGTCGGCCGGCCTGGCGGGCCTGAGCGTCTTCAGCTGGGACCCCAGCCCGCTTCTCCCGCAGCTCCCGCGAAGTCAGTGCGTTTCCCCCCTTCCCCCAGTCACTCATCCCTGCCGAACGTGGGGACTTTGCTCCAGCTCGGGGATGGCTTCTGCTCTGCTACTGAGGTGCTGCAAGAGGGGGGAGAGGAAAGTCTGTGATGCGGAGGGAGAAGGAGATTGGGGGATTTGGACCAAGGGGAAATTCCTCCCTGGGCATGGAGGCCTGGGCCCCCTTAAACACTTTGCGGCTTCCTCCCTCTCCCCCGCCCTGGGGGAGTGAAATAGAATCGCGCTGCCTTTGTTTGAACCCTTGTTCCTGGAGATCGCCCCTAACCACGTGCTCCTGGATGCCTGCCCAATATTGCTGGCAGAGCCACATGCAGCCGGAGGGTGAGCCGCGGTGGCCAGGCAGCCTGGCTCCGAAATACCAGCCCAGCCAGGCTGTCAGAGAGAGAACAGGCAGGGAGGTTACAGTTGTGCTCAAACCTGCAGCCCCAGGCTTTGGAGGCTGGTGCCTTATCCCTTAGGCAGCCGAAGAGCCCACCCCACCCCTTGTGGCTGCCTTAGCCTCCCTTCCCTCCGCTGGTGCCTGGTTTTATGGGATCACAAAAATTCTCTGATTTTAAACACCTCCCCCCAGTAAAAATCGGTGGCTTTCCGTGACTAGGATGAAACGCTGAACTTCGTTTCCCCAGCTGCAGTCCAGTGGCACATGGATTTCCAGGGCCCCTGCCCATCACAAATCTGCTGCGTTTCCCCCTTACCATCCCCTCTCCTTTCTTGAGACTCCTCCTCTTCTGTTTCTTCTTCCTCCTCATTTAGCTCCTCCTCTTCCTCACCTGCCGGCCAAAGTAACTGACTGAACAAGGCAAAGCCCCAACCTCAGACCTGGCTTTTCAACCCAGCGCCACTTAGGAAAGGCATCCTCCCCTCTCTGCAAAATAGTGTCTGGGCACTGAAGGGCCAGGAGAGAAAGGTCGATCCAGGGCTGGGTACACACGCGAGGGAGCCAGCACTCTGGGGGGGATGCCCTGTTTTACTAATAGCTTATGATCTAGCCTAGGGGGCATCACTTTGCCTCTCTGAGCCTCAGTTTTCCTGACTGTAAAATGGGCATGGCGCTAAGACTGGCCATTCCCAGTTGCTATAAACCATGGGCCCAGCGCGGTGTCCATTGATGCTAGGAATATACTGACTTGAGTGGGTCTTGTTGGATCAAGTCCCAAATGAACAACGGTCCTCAAATCTCCCCAGCTAACTAACTGGAACGAGCTGAAAGCCTTAGTGCTGTAGCGTGACAGCAGTCCCCTCTGTCAGAGAGAGGCAGTGATGTCTAGTGGTAAAGCACAGCGCTGGAAAATGAGAAATCTGGTTTCTTATCCCTGGCTCTGACTTGCTGTGTGGTCTGAGGCAAGCCATGCCCACTCGCGGCGCCTCAGTTTCCCTGGGGGTTCTGAGGCTTCACTCCCTAGCGCTTGGAAAGTGTTTCCGGGTGCTGGAGGGGAAGGGGCCGGGGAAGGGCATGGCGTTATTCTACCTGTTCCAAAGTCGATGGCTCTCAGGGCTTCTGCTATGTGCTCCAGGTCGAGGGAGAAGCAATCCATGTTCTCAAAGCCCGGCTCGATCTTCCCCAAATGGCTGCCCTTCGACGCTTCCACTATTCTGGGGGAGAAAGGCAAAGGGTCCGTTTCCTACCCCCGGGCGTCCCGAGGGGACCTCCGGCTTGACTGGTCACTGGCTGAGCAGCACCAAGCCCTGGCCCGTCGCGGTTCCTGCGGTTCCCTGCAGCCCCTCCCCATCCAGACTCCACCGGCCCCAGGACTCGGCTCCAGGAGACTGGTCGCCTGTTTCCCGACACTGACGGTGTGAACCCGCCTCAGTGGCACCGTGCGGACGCCCTGACAACGCGGCGTCTTTGGGTTCAGCGGCTCCAGTTGGGAAGCGGATCAAGCTGCAGTGAAGTGAGTGTCCAGGTGGCCTTTCGCGCCCGGTCAGCGAGCTCAGCTTAAACGAAGCCCGGTTCCCAGAGCCTCCCTAGAGCCCGTCTACGTCCCGGGGAATGCGCACGAGCCACCCCGGTGGTGACTCCAGAGTCACTGCCGGTCCTCACGTGGGGTCTGAGTGCCCGAGTCAGGCCGGCCCAGCAGGCCCTCAGTGTCCCAAGGATCTGCCAGGCTCCTGGATTCTTTTTAAAGGATCCTCGTATTTAAGCATGAAAGTGGAACTGGGCTCCTACTGCCCACTCCCCCCAGCATTTCTGGGGCCATTCCCTACGTGGGGTTCAGCATCGCGGCAGAGTCTGAGACTGCGGCCCCAACGCCCCGATTCAAACTGCAACCCCGGGGACTTACGTGGTCAGGAGCTGCTTGGAGTTCTGTGGAGAGAGCAGAGAGGGGAGACCCCGGTGAGCCGGGCTGGGAGCAAAGCAGCCGTCCCGGGATGGGGGGGGCTGTGTGTGGGGGTGAATAGCAAGCTGCCGCCCCCCCCAAGTTATTCCCTCTCGCTGTTGACAAGCCCAGGTCTGCCTGGCCCGCCCCACGACACACAGAGGCAGGGTCCTTGGTGAGGCCAACGGGGGGCCAAGGTGGGGGGAGGGATGTGGGGGGATGGGAGGCTGAAGCTGACTCGTGGGGCCCCACACTGCTAGATCCAGGCTCCCTCCCTGCACTGGCCGCTCACCATGAGAAAAGCGGCCCCTCCGGTCTCCTCCAGGGACTGGAAGGCCGTCTGCACCAGCCGGGTGGACTCGTCCAGCTGCTCTCGGTACTGCTGGATCAGGGCCTGCACAAAGCTGCTCTTGTCTTCCTGCTCCTTGGTGACCTTCTGCAGCAACTCGCTCTTCTTCTCCTCCAGGGTGGCCACCAGGGCGTTAATCTTCTCGCACAACTCCTGCTTCACCCGCCGGCTGTTGTCCTGCCGGCCGGCCAAGGGCAAGGGCGTGAGCATCTCCCAGCGCAGGGGGCAGCTCCCTCCCCGTCCCCCCCAGAAGCACCGCAGCCGCCCAGCGATGCAAAACCCAGAGCCCCGATCCTGGAGAGCTCCGATTGCACCCTCCCTCGGGGCACAGCCCGGGCTGGAGGTGCCCAACACTTGGCCAGTCCCTTCGATGCTGCTGGCCCTGTGCAGATCTACTGGCACTAGCGAGAGGGGGAATGGAAACCCGGTTCCCAGAGCAGGGCACTGGAGGCCAGGACGTGGGGTTTCTCCCCCCAGCGCTGGCGCTGCCCCACACCTGTGAGGGGGAGAGATGATCTGTGTGTCCTGTGGCAGGACAGGGTTTGGCCAGTCGGGGCGGGGCGGTGACGCTGCTTCCCTGCCGGGACGGGCAATGGGGGCAGAATTCCAAGTGTTACCGTGACTGGCTGGAGCCCCCTCTCCCTGGGGCCGGGTGGCGCTACTCCAGCGAGCCCCAAACCCCAGGCAATGACCCGCGCGAGGCCGGCTCCCTGCTCCGTGCGCTGAGAGCCGAGACCCGTTACGCTGATCAGCGGCTTTGTTAGCTCAAAGGTTGCAAAAGCCTCCCACTGAATTCAGCAGGGTTCTCAGTCCCATGGACTAAGCGGGAAGCTGCTCCCGCCCCTGCGTTGGCCATGCCAGGACTTGGCGGGGGAGGGTCGGATTTCGTCTCTGCCACTCCGATTTCAAAGGGCTCGGTCATGTTCCCCGTTCCTCACCTCAGTGGTTTTGCAAGTCTCCTCCAGCTGGCTGATGATCGTCTGGATTCTGTCGTTCCCTGCCACCAGCATGGAGACGCAGTTGCTCAGCTCCATCTGCGGGAGAGAGGGACAGAAATAGATTTAACCCTTGCACTGCCAGGAGGGGTGACGGCTAGCCGTGCTGTCTCAGGGGGCGAGGGGAGCTGGTGGGCAGATGGGAGAGAGGGCCAGAGTAGGTTCAGATTTCTGGTTTAACCCGCTCCAGGGAAGGCTGATCCTCCTTCAGACAGAGGAGAGGAAAGGCCTTGGCCCTGTCTGCAGGCTGGGACGAGAGAGGAGGAACACAGCCTCGGTGCTGAGGGGTCCGTGCAAAGCAAGACCCTCAAAACTGTCCCCAAGAGGTGGGGACAGAGCCAGACGGCAGCCTGGGCTGTGCTGGGCACCAATGTTCCCTCTACTCTGTGCCATCCCTGTGCCGATTTTTTTCCATTCAGATGTGGAATAAATGTTATGTGCACCGAGGCACGTGGGAATGTGCACCACCAGGAGGAACACAAAGCCAGCTGGGGGGGCGCTGCTAATCAGCTGGGCAGCCTTGGAAACTCTCCTGGATGGCCGCCCAAGTGCCCAGCTCCTGGGAGCACTGCCGGGCACCCCCAGGACAGGTGGGTGGGCGGTGGGCAGGTAACGGCGCTGGATGCCTGGCCATGGCGCGGAAGGGTGGGCCATGGAAGGGCACCGGGTGGGGGAGGAGGTTTGGCTGTGGGACTTTGGGACCCACAGGGGTGGATGCTGGTGAGAAATGGACACCTGTCTGCTGAGTGC